CTGCCATCGGATTGTATCCTTCTCTGTTCTGGGTGAAAGGAGGCTGACCACTGATGACTTCCCTGCATCCTGTTTTGTTCTTCTCCACATCGCCTGCTGCCATTTTCCTTTCACCTCTGCCTAACCTTGGTTCAGCTAACCTGTTCCTTGGAGCTTGGCCTGGACTTTATTCTCAGAGAAATTCTGAACTGCAGATGGGCTTGTGGATGCATCCCAGCCCAGCAAAAGTCTGACAGCTATGCTGAAGTGTGAGATGAGGTTGTCTTGGCGCACCACTAAGGCTCATCATACACTCAAGTACCCACTCCATGTTGTGTCTGCAGCACTCAGAAAATGCTTTTATTCCAAACATCTTCATCCTGAGTTAAAATCAGCCTGATGGAGAGTTGGGAGAAATGAGAACTCTCAGACATTGCTAGTAGTGTAAAATGGTGCAGCCCTGTGAGAAGCTATGTACAATTATTCAGAAAGTGGAACTGCAGACTTTGGGTGGAGCATTGATTCCAGAATGGAAAGTGGTGTTCACAGAGAATAGGGGACAACAGGGATACAGCAGGACTCATCAGAACAGTCCAACTAGAAACTATTCAAATACCCATCACTGATGAGTACAAACATACAATGTGGTCCATGAGATACTGTTAAGTATGGAATAATATATACAGTCATTTGGCCATGAGTTAGTCAACCTTTTGTTACTCAAAGAAATCCCTGACACAATCAACTTACTTGGAGGAAAGGTTAATATAGATGCCAGATTGTAGAGATTTTCTAGTTTTCTGAGCTCATTCCTTTGGGCCTAATGGAGGCAACCTGTGGTACAGAGAGCTTTTTTAAGAGGAGGCTGCCCTCCAGCAGGAACTGGAGCTGACCACAGCCCAGGAAGAGAGCCTCCTGCAGAAGGAGCTGCTGGTGCAGAAACACTATGTTCCAGGCAAGTAAGCCACCATTGGTTCCCATCCCCAGCAGCCAGGCTGTTCATGGGGTGTGTTTTCTTCCTTAACTTTTGTTTACTATGGATTAATAGGCCCTGATTATTCTTGGCAGTGGCAAGCAAAACTGTTTCTGAATCATATTTTCTTTGCTGATTTTCTCTGATAGCACCTCTTCAGAAAACTGAGAAGGCTGGAAGATGCGAGAGACACCTTGAAAGCATGACATTCTACACTCCAGGTTCACGGCCTCCTCAGAAATTGCCACCTCTTTTCAGCTGTGAACTCACTTGTGAGGCAAATATCAACCTACCATCAGGCCATCTAGCCACAATCTGATCCACATCCATTGGCTCACTATTCCCAGACAAAAGATTGTATCAGAAATTGTCTAAGATTCAGAGGACACAACACACATTACTAAGAACCCTGACACGTGGCCCCAGTGAGGAGCAAAACAACATGGAGAGGACTTGTGGGTGAGGAAGAGTTCTTCTGTCGACTTACTATCAAGGGCTTTGACAAGCTGACTCCATATGTGATAGAAGTCTGACAAGGAAGACTGTGTTAACATCACACTGCCATCCAGACAGACCACACCCAAACCATAAGATTCTCTCCAGTGCAGTGCTGAAGCTGACGCCATGTCATGGGCAAGTGTTACTGAAGATTATTCA